AAAGAAGTGGAGATTGTAATTATTGTTAGAGAGAGAGAGAGAGAGAGAGAGAGAGAGAGTAAACTTACATAGCTTGGTTTGGAAGGTGTGGGGTTATTAATGAAGTATCTCCTCTCTCTCTCTCTCCATATTATAAAGCTAATTAAGTCATTAACTTTATTTTAAAGTATAAAGTTAAAGAGTATTTCTGCCTCTCAACTATTCATTTAGGTGCATATAATATTATAAAGTTACATATTATGCAATTTTTTCCCAACGTTTGAAAATGGTGCACTAGGCACCCTACTGTTAAAAAAAGTTAATGGTGACTGTTAATTCATTGATTCAAAAATTACAAAAAAGAACCTAAAAATTTATATAAAAGGAAATATATATAAAATTAAAAAAATACTTATAAAAAATTGATATTGATCAAGTCCCTGAAATAGTGTGATAGTCCTCTTTAAAAATTTATAGCTAGTGTAAAAAAATGTGTTCATTTATAAATAGCATATATGTAAAGTCTCCTTTATTTAATCATAATTAACTCCATAATTAAGTTAATCAAGGGATTAACCTTTAAAGGATTACCAAAGTTATAAAATTATAAAAAATTGAAGAATTCTCAAATCATTTGCAACATGATCCCCAAAAATTTAATTTTCAATCTCTATCACACACTTAAAATGTTCAAATCAAAGTTTGAAAATAATGCAGAAGGTTGGAAAATAAATGGGACCCAAAACAATGAGTTCCAAAACTCAAAACTATGTTTTGTGCAGAATATGTAACATGTGCTACGGCTTATGACATATGCGTTGCGGCTCACTTACCAATAACTACTATCATTTGATAACAGTGGAAGCAAACTTCTGACGCATCCTAAATCTCTATCCGACTCTAATTGAGATGGTTTCAGTGTCAATATGAAGCTTTCTTCTAGTTCTAGCTAATGGCATAGGTTTTATACTCAAATTTATTTTCTACAAAAAGTTGGACACCAAAACCCATTTTACAACTTTTTCACCAAAATTTTCACAACCAAGGTGCCCAAACTCAACGTCAATTACCAAAAGCCTATACTGACCTTCTGACCACACTCAATGGACTCCAACGAACCCATGCAATACACCATACACAACAAAAAACACATATTTTTCAAAATCACTACTCAACCCTAAATTTCATAAAACATAAGGGGGAGGAAATTCATACACAAAACCATCATTTTTATTTCAAATAATTCAAAATACACATGTTCTTACTTGCACAAGTATTTTAACCCTATTCTCAGGTTTACAACTAAAACTCACTAACCTGGGCACAAAATACACAAATTGTTCATTATAGTAATGCAAGTGGTACAAAATAATGACATGTGATCCTAGTTGGCAATTATACAATATTAACATAAAAATAGAGTAAAGAGGCATGAAAGTAGGATTTCACCATAATCCTACGCCTTAGAGTGTTTTTCCTTGACTTTGATCCAATGAGCTAGGCCCTAAAAATATTAAGAATTGAAGGGTGAGTACAATCATTCAGTAACCAAATTTTACCTAATCTACATAGTTGCATATCAATTGAAAATAGATGTAAATAGGCAAAAATGCATAAACACAATACATATGATGGGCTTAGCCATGGTTCACAATACTAACAATCATGTGATAGGGTCCAAGGCATATATTCATATCCAAAAAATGTCAATGCAAAATACAGGGTTGCAATAATATGTGCCCTTAACACAAGCCGAACCATCATAATAACAACCATGTGGTCGAATCTAAATAAATTATCAAATACCAACATTATATCCTCCTGTTACCTCCGACATGAAACCAGTGGCTATCGTATGGCTATGTCCTTCACAGACTAACCCAGCCTTCTATTTGTGAAAAACTACCAGGCCAGGGTTAACTCGCTCACTTATGTTATTCGATTTCTCCATATACTAACAACCATGAGATGTCATACCCCTAATCTAGCCTCCTTATGAACTAGTGTAGACTAGTTAGGTTTGAGTACCTCATAGAACTAGTGGGATAATCTTGAATCAACCATGGGATGGGCTACCTCCCAATTCCAATGGTCAATGCCAAGGCATGTTCCTGATTCTAACAGTCATTGCTAGTACCACATGGATTTAAATCAATCTACTCCTCTCCCTAGGCGAACTCCTACCAATGATCATGCTATGCACATTTTACGCATAACGTGTATTCAAAACAACCAATTTATGGAATATAAATTCATACACTCATACTTCCTTCAATTACCTCAAACCTTTAAAAGATTAAAGGTTTACCTCTCACAATACCAACTTTCAAATCTTCTCACAAGCTTGAATATTGCCACAATGATTCATACTACAATCATAATACAAGGATATCATCATAATCTCATTTTTGTGAGTTCACCACAATAATCTCCACACACTCTATTCTATTAGTCTATAAATTTGCTACCTATTTATACCTAATGGATTCATTAGGTTCCATTAATGCACTTTATCATTAATAAATCTTCAAACCACTATTAATGGATATCAAACTCTCATAACTACCTCATTAGTGGCAATTTTCGCATATTAATGGCTCTACCCAACAAACTCTTGATAAAATCATCAATATAAGGTTTATCTATCACAAACAACTCCTAATATATCAATTTTAACTAATAGGTTCGAACCTATAACTCCTATGGATCAAAAATTAATTTTCCAACTCAAACCCTAACTCAAATATCTATAAATGAGGGAGGGAAAGGAAGATAAGAGCATAGTTTACTTACCTTAGCTGTTTGGAAGCTTCAAATTGTCCTCAAGGGTCCTAATGTGCATGCCGTAGCAGAGCTTTAGCCGTGCTCTTTGTGTTTCTCCTTCTTCTTCTCTATTTTTTTTCGCACAGACGTGAACTGATTTATCAAAATTTTGACCGTGTACCATGACGCACACTGCCCTTCACTATGGTGCATGACACAGAGAAGCCCATTACCTTTGAATTTGCCTCTGTGCGCTGTGACGGATTGTAGCATGTGGCATAAAGGGCATTTCTTCTCTTTTCTTTCTCTTTCTATGCCGAGGTGGCCCAAAATCGATTCGGACCCTCTTCTAGGGTTAAAATTACATTTAATTACACTAATTAGGCCCCTCTGGCCACAGACCTCATTAACTCATTAATCACACTCATTACGTTAATAAATCATAATTAAATTTTCTCGGATGTTACAAGATACATAAGTTAAGTTATATTGTAAATTTCTAGAGGATGTTTAAATCTCAAAAATTAACTTGTAATTGTGTGTTAAGATTTGTAACTAATAATAATATTTAAATTATTACATATTAAAATTGTAATAATTTAATATGATATTATTAAAAAAATATGATATTTTTAAATTATTAACTTGTATTTTTGCCACCAATTGTGATCCTTTAATTACTTAGTAGCTAGTTAAGTTGGTTGGTCAAAATTGTATTTTGATGTTTTTCATGGATAAAAAATAACATTTGTATTCTGGTATTTATATATAATTTAGAAAATTTAATTGGTATTAATTTTCATATAGGGTACTTATTTGTAATTATTTGGTTTATTTCCTATAATTTTTAAAGTGATTTTCTTCAATTTTTAAGTGAACTAATCATGAAAATTATTTTTTTTAATGATAGGATGACCAATGTATCATTTTTAAAAGCTAAAGGTAAAAATTATATCATTAAGTTTAGATATCAAATACTTCTATGTGAATAGTTAAAAGCCAAAAATGCTCTTTAACCCTAAAAAATAATACATGTCCAATTTTACTCCTATTTAAATAAAAAATTTCTAAATTTGCATTCAATTCTCTATCATATATTGTTAATGAATTTAACTTGGGTTAATATTAGAAACAACGTAATTAATGCGTACCAAGTGCCTTGTATAAATTAAGGAACAAAAAAACTTTTATAGAAGGCGCCAAGAATGGAGGGAGTACGAAATTAAGATGCATGGAAGAGTAAAGATAAAGGAATACCCAAGTGAATGATGTGAATGCCCGAGTGACGCACGAGTGGATGAATATATTTTTTCTAATTTTATTTATAAATTATTTTCAATATATTTCACTATATTTGCACACAAATTATAAATTTAGAGGCTCAGGCTTAACTTAATTTAATTATCTTTAAAATAATTAAAGGAAATATTTATGAGCCTTAGCTAATTAAGTCAATACCATCCACATTTCACCCATGATGAATGGCCATGATGGAGGAAGTGTTTCCTAAATTCAAGAAAACTGACAATTATGGTGCTTGGATACCAAGCCAGGATCATCTATAAATAATCTCTCCCTCAATGAGATCATCAGCATTAACAAACTATCAATCTTAGACTCCGTATCTACTATTTTATTTTTTTCTTTTATCACGTAGTTTTAGTCTTTATATGTCGTTTTCGGCCAATATAGCTCGCCACCTTTTTTTTTTATTAATGTATCTCTACTTTTCTGCATCTACATTAATGTTCTTCACTTTGCATTCTCACATCCAAGTGAACTGTGGTAAGGGAGCTTGAGTTTTCCATGTTTGATTAGAAATCAGGTTATTCCATCCTCTTGAGACCCTGCATCTCTAGCATGCCTCGCAACACCACAACCTAATTGATTGCTTTTTTTTTTTTACGAACAATTTTTGGCACGCCTAGTGGGACTCGTGTGAAAGGAATGCCTAGGACATGTAAGGATCAATATGTTGTTGGAAAGAATAGACCTGAGTTTTACGACTAGAAAACGTGGTTGCACATGCAGAACGTGAAGTACGAGTTAACGAGAGGCAAAGAGCTCTGTTGCAAACTTTAAAGGAGGGGCTAAGGAACATCTCTACTATGCTGTCTAGATTGTCGCATGAGCAAGCTCCAATTCACTCCCACCTTTAGAGAACAGATGGACTCAGGGGCAGTCTCCTAAAGTGCCGTTCGACCAGAAGATCAATAACGAAGACTGCTATAACATCCCTCAAAAAATAAATGGCAAGTTTAATTCAATAGCAGGCCCGTTTGGCCATAAAGGCCATAGCTATTGGGGCCAGCACTATCGAGGCCAAAGCCATTGGGGCCAGTATCAGAGGGGCCAGAGCCACAAGGGCCAGAGGAGCCATCGGGGCCAAAGCCATTAGGGCCAGCACCAAAGGGGTCGGAGCCATAATGGCTAAAGTCATCGGGGCCAAAGCCATCAGGGCCAACACTAGAGGGGCTGAAGCTACAAGGGCCAACGTAGCCATCAAGGCCAGCACTAGATGAGCCAGAGCCACAAGGGCTAGTGAAGCCATCGGAGCCAACACCACAGGAGCCACAGCCATAAGGGCTAGCACCATTAGAGCCAAAGCCATTAGGGCCAACACTAGAGGGGCCGAAGCCATAAAGGCTAGCGAAGCCATCAGGGCCAACATCAAAGGGGCCAAAGTTACAGGGGCTATAACCACAGGGGTCGCAGTCATAAGAGTCGGCGCCACAAGGGCCAAAATCAGAAAGACAAGTTTTACAAGGGCCCTTTCCATGAGAATTCTCTCTTAAAAGGCTCTTTCTACAGGGGCCTCGCAGCAGCTAGATTTACAGAATCAATCCTTAAAAACTCAAAGGGCCAATTTCAAAACCAGCTCTTGAGGTCCTAAACCTGGAGAAACTTGATCCTAAGCTAGATCACATGGTCCTTAATCCTCAATCACAAAGGTTTCCTTCAAGAAAAGTACCAAATCAACCATCAATTAAAATGAGAATGAGCCAGTCCTCCAAGACATATTCATACAAAATTGGCCTATGAAGGCTCTGGCCAATTTGTATGTGGAGGGCATTGTTTGCACCCAAATTATAAATTTAGAGGCCTAGGCTCAACTCAATTTAATTGGCTTTAAAATAATTAAAGGAAATATTATGGAGCCTTAGCCACTAAGTCAAAACCATCTGCACTCCACCCATAATGAGTAGCAATGATGGAGGAAGTACTTTCTAAATTCAAGGAAACTAATAAGCATGGGGCTTGAACACCAAGCCAGGATCATTTATAAATAGAGGAGCTCTCTCTCAAAAAGATCATCAGTATCAACAAACTATTAGTCTCAGACTATGTGTTTGCTATTTTATTTTTTTCTTTTATCATATAGTTTTAGTTTTTATTTTTCGTCATACGGCCGATATAGCCCACCACATTTTTTTATTAATGTATCTATGCTTTTTTGCATCTACGCTGATGTTCTTCACTTCGCATTCTCACATTCGGGTGAACTGTGGTAAATGAGCCAGGTTTTCCACATTTGATTAGAAGTCATGTTCTTCCATCCTCTTGAGACCCCGCGTCTCTAGCATGCCTCGCGACACCACGACCTGATTGATTGTTTTTTTTTTTTTACGAACACACTAGAATTAAAAAATAATCTTATATCTCATTATTAATATTTTCATTCCAAACATTATTTAATAAAGGTAAAAATATAAATAAAAATATTGAAAATTGATAAATGTCTTACAAATGAGTTTTTTTTTTTTTTTACTCTTTATAGGATAGGAGTACAATCAAAGTGGAAGAGGACAGTGTATCGGTCCTTAAAATGACCCCTCTCTTCTCATTCCTTTACGCTTCCCTTTATTTCTCATGTTCCTTTCCTTCATTTCTCCACGCGTGCCACATTCATCTCCTTTCTTCCTCCTCAAACATCAACGCAGACTCGGTTTTTTTTTTTTTTTTACTTTCTCCAGCCCCAGCAAAGATCCACTCTTTAATTTCCATGATCTTATTCCTTCCTTAGCTTCTTCGATCCCTTGAAGCTTTTTTACGATATCTTGAGACTTATTTTTCATGTTCAAGCAACCAAACGGTTACAAACTGAGAGGAGTATTAGGATATATCTTAAAAATATGAACACAGTAAGTCTTCATAAATAATACTTCCTCCATTTAAAAATGTAAATAATTTTTAACCGAATCCCACTTTTCAATAAAGTAGTTACATGCTTTCTAACTAATCATATCTTTTTATATTTACTCCTATTAAATATCCTACAATAAATAAAAAATCATTATTAATAGGGACACTTAAAAAAAAGCAATAATTACACCTCAAAAGATTAAAAATGTCTTATATTTTTAAATATTTAACTTATCAAAAAATGCCTTACATTTTTTAACAGATGAGTATATCTTAAAAAGTTTCAACTTTCAATTATTATAACCCAAAAATCAACATCCCATGTATATATAAATCTTCTGTTTTCTCTATTTTTCATGCTAAATTGCCTCACCCACTCCTCGTACATGCACATCTTAACGTTTTCTTTCAGATGACAAATTGTGATGAAATTCACCCAAAGCCTGTGCATTGTTTCGTTCAATTTTCTGTTATGCTGTGAATTCTATACGGACAGGAAGGTCCCACGGGACAAATCCAGGATTTAATAATAGAAAAAATATAATTAGGAATTCCAAAAAGAATATTAATTATAATTATAGACTTTGAATTATTAAAATTTCAATAATAGAACAAGGTCCTTGCTAGCAATTAAAAGGATGTAAATAGTCAATTAAAAAATTAATAAAGTATAGTTGTGGTTATTTGTAACGTCAATTAATAATCTATGAGAGTCAATTGTAAATCTCTTTTTTTTTTTCAATATACATATAAACCACTTAGGAAAATAATAAAATATACTTAAAAATTATTTGTAACATTAATGAAGAATTATTAATTGTGATTAATAGTTGAAAAATTAATAAAGTATAGTTGTGATTATTTATAACATCAATTGATAACTTATGAGAGTCAATTATAAATCTCAACTTTTTTTCTGTTAATACATAGATAAACTACTTTGGAAAGTAATAAAATACATTTTGAATTATTTGTAACATTAGTAGAGAATTTATTACAAGAGTCAATTGTATGATTTTTTTGCTATCAATATATATATATATATATATATATAAATTTTTTGAGAAATCTACAAAATACACATAAGATTGTTTATAATATCAGTTAAAAATTTATAAAAATCAGTTATAAATCATAAGCCAATCACTTATGATTTTTTATTGTCAATATATAAATAAATTGCTGAACAAATTAACAGAAGATATTTGAGAATTTTTGTAGCATTAATTAAAAATTTACAGAAGTTAGTTATAAATCTCAAACTGACTAACAAAATATACTTTATTGCAACTAAAAACTATAGTCAATTATTAGAATTTTAATAATTATATTCAAGGTTTGTAACTGAAATTAATGTTCTTATGAGATCTTTAATTATTATTTTTTCTTTATAATAAATGAGGCCAAGAATAAAAAAAAATATACTACAAAAATTTCATAAAATTATATAATAATATTAAAAAAATATTACAAAAGTATGTAATATTTATATAATATTAAATAAATTGAAAAAATATTGGGACCGAAGGTTCTTGATGTGTTATCTCCCTTGTCCTCATTAACCACCGGATGAGGAAGTAACATCAACAAATATAATATAATTTGGCTACATAACATAACACACCAATATGATCACAACAATTCAATATTTGTACACATATTTATTTAAGAAAAAATTATAATAAAATCTCTTTGAATTATGTAAATAATATTTTGGTGTTTTAAAATATCATAATTTTTTTGAAGTCTCTTGAGACTTTTCTGTTATTAAGAAATTAATATAAATGATCAAATTATCCTTAATTCAAATATTAATTTTCATTTATAAATTTTATTCTAAGATTTACAACTTTTCTTTTTAAAATTACAACAATTCAACAGCAATTTACAAATTCGCATTTGAAACTCTGATATTTCTCAAGTGTTACAAATATCAATTACCATTCACAAGTTTCATTCTAGGATTCACAACTTTTTTTTTTTCTTAATATCGCAAGAATTCAATAGCAATTCACAAGTTTAAATTAAGGATAATTTGATCATGATTTGCATTAATTTCTTAATAATAAAAAAGTTTTTAAAAACTTTAGGAGAATTATGATATTTCAAGGGACTAAAATATTATTTATATAATTTAAAAATATTTTATTATTATTTTTCCTTTATTTAATGGCATAAGGTTGCAAGTCCAGATCATTAAATTAATGTTTCCTCTTCCAACATAATCATTGATCTGCCCAGCTTTGCTTGCTTTGACTCTACCCGAACATTTTTTTAAATATAACAAATAATCTACTCATATATATATATATATATATATATATAAAATATCCCATGCTGGATGGTTGTTCCAATTAAGGCACGAGTTAATTTTTGTCTTGCGTGGAGTTAGGGAGCAATTGCATTATAGATGTCGTTAGGTTATTCTTTGCTTGATCTTGTGTACCTAAAACACTCTTTCCCAATTTGCTTTTCTCAATTCGTGCTTCTAATTAATTGTCTCGCAAGATCCTTGATTCTTTGGTAAAAAATTTTAGGTGTTAAGGAAACGACTACCACCATTCTAATACTATAAATAGAATATAAAGACATAGAAAAAAGATAATCAACACTCAACTAAAGACTCGCATTCTGCACTTGTAGCTTTTAGTTTTATCAGTTAGTTTTTATTTTTAATTTAGACTTGTAACTTTTTCACATTTCAATAAAAATAAAAAGTACTTGTTCTACCAAGCCTTATGTATCTTTTACATTTGAGTGAAATGTGTTAAGAGAGCTCGGGACCTTTTTGTTATCAATTAAGACTTAGCATCTGTAGCATGCCTCATATTTGTTGTTGACCATAAACAATTTTTGGCATGCCCAGTGGGACCTGTATAATAAAGATGGTAAGGATAAGAAAGGACAAAAGGACTGATGAAATAGGTGCTGGTTCTCATGAACCAGAAGGGACCTTTACACACGTAAGGTCAAAACACTTGATGCCTGATGCTGAAACGGCTGAACATCGTGAGCATGTAGTGCCGATGTTGACAGGTAGCAGCAGCACAAGCCTTGGCTCAAAGCTAGGAAATAGGCAAGCTAACCCACTGATCATATCCAATAGTCTTGTGCCAGAAGTGTTATGGGAAATTCAAGACTAGATGGTTAAGCAGCTGGAAGAGAACCAAAAGTTCTTTGCACTACCCCTGGAAACGTCAGAAAGCAGGGAGAAAGAACGACAACAGATCATGATGTAGGCTTTACATGATGGCATGAAGAACATAGCTGCATCATTCAAAAGCACTCTTCTAGAAGCAGGCTCAAACCTAAAGGCCACATGGAGGGCAACAAGCAGGAGTCAATGCAGGCACTGGCCATCGGGGCCACCTACTTGTAAAGGACTACCCATACCCCTAGATTTTTGCTAACACTAATACTTTGAATAATCTTTTGTATTATTTACAAGAACTTGGCACAAGTAGCCTGAGGGCCATGGCAATAGTCCCAAAGCGTCAGAATGAGCCTCTGAACTGATTGGTGAACAATGAGGCCCTGAGGGATGCTATCCAGGATATATATAAACCGAGGCTGAGGCCAATTGGCTACCCTACCTTCTCAAAGCCATATCTGGAATACATAGATAGGGACAACCTGTACCCTCGAGGATACAAAATCCCAAACTTTACTCTATTCTCAGGAG